TATTTCTAGCTTTTTATTTAAAGTGAGACACATGTGATGCTTCCTTTAACTTGAGCATTTAGAGGCCATTGCCACTGTAGGATTATTAATTGACTTAATCTCCTTTTTTTTTTTTTTTTTTTTTTTTTTTTTTTTTTTTTTTTTTTGTCTCAGGAAAGAGGGAGGTCAAGGAGAGGGAGAGAAAGAAACAGGGGAACAGCTGGCCAGTGAAGCAGTCGAAACACCCACATTTATTAGGTTTGCCATAATATACAAACCCAGCGTGTGGTGCCATAGACAGTTACACCAGTAACAACAAAGATCATTGTTACCACTGTTCATACTACCATAACAGATGTAATAATAATAATAAAGTCTGAAATATTTCAAGAATTACCAAAATGTGGCAGAGACACAAAGTGAGCACATGTTGTTGGAAAAAGGGCACCAATAAACTTTTTTGACTCAGGGTTGTCACAAGCATTCAATTTGTAAAACTCACAATATCCTCAAAGTACAATAAAGCGAAGTGCAATCAAACAAGATGTCCCTGTACGATAAAGAAACCTAAAAGAATAACATCAAATATGATAGCACACATAGGCAGCATTTAGTATATGTCATATATAAGTATTCCTGTCGTCCTAAAGCATGGGGGAAAAACAAGACAACACAATAGCAAAATAAAAGTTCTAGGCACTCATAGAAAAAGAAACACAAATGGCCAATAACAAATGAAGAATGCACAACTGCAACAAAAATGAAAGCAATGCAAGATAAAATAGGAATGAAATAAAATTTTTTTACAGTTAAGTTGGCAAGATATTAAATGTTTACAATATCTAGTGCATGTCATATTGATTTACAGGGAAATGTAAAGTTTAAATGGATTCATTTAGATATATAATTCTTAATGTGCTAATAAAGCATAGAAAAAATATGGAAATATGTGCAACAAAATTCACAGGGAACATGTATTTTAAAATCAGAAAAAGAAACAGCATAATGGTGTGAGTAATTTGAAAAATACATAACTTGTTATTTTAGAAAGCATAAGAATATAGGGTGAAATATTCTTTTTAAAAAAAAAAAATGTTGCAAAAGGTATCGCTGCTATAATAAATTGCCATAAACTTAGTGACAAAATAACAAATTCCTGGTCTCATAATTCTGTGGGTTGGAAATCTGACATGCATCTCACAGGGCTAAAATCAAACAAGGTGTCTACAGGGCTTTGTTCCTTTCTGGAGGCCGCAGAGGAGCCTCTTCCAGCAGAAGGCTGCCCACATTCTTTAGTTCATGGACCCCTGCATTCATCTCCACATCCAGCTCTATTCTTGCTGACCATTATTCCATAGTCACATGTCCCTCTCTCGACAGGAGGAAATGTTCTCTGATTTTAGGGACCAGTGTGATCTTACCTCAAGATCCTTAACTTAATCACATCTTCAAAGTCCCTTTTGTCATGTAAAGTAACAAATTACAGGTTCTAGGAGATAGGACAGGAACATCTTTGTTTCTCTTAGTATAAAACCTTCAAGAATCTTATGGATCTCCTGCATATATCATGGGGATTTCCTCCATTAGACATGAAGCTTCCCCACAGATCATTCCTAGAAATCCACACATCTATTTTTGGATTTTTTTATACTTTAAATTCAGGAATATATGTGCAGGCTTGTTACATAGGTAAACATGTGTCATGGGTGTTTGTTGTACAGATTATTTCATCACCCAGGTATTAAGCCGAATACCCATTGGTTATTTTTCCTGATCCCCTCCCTCCTCTAACCCTCTACCCTCATATAGGACTCAGTGTATGTTGTTCTCCTCTATGTGTCCATGTGTTCTCATTTCGTTACCACTATAAGTGAGAAAATGTGGTGTTCGGTTTTCTGTTTCTGCATTAGTTGGCTAAGAGTAATGGCCTCCAGCTCCATCCATGTCCCTGCAAAGCACATTATCTCATTCTTTTTTTATGGTTGCACAGTATTCCATGCTATATATGGATGACATTTTCTTTACCCAGTCTATCATTGCTGGGTATTTAGGTTGATTCCATGTCTTTGCTATTGTGAATAGTGCTGCAATGAGCCTACATGTACATGTGTCTTTGTAATAGAATGATTCATATTCCTTCGGTTATATACTCAGTAATTGTCAAACTGTCTTCCAAAATAGTTGAACTAATTTACACTCCCAGCAACAGTGTGTATAAGCGTTCCTTTTTCTCCACAACCTCATTAGTATCTGTCGTTTTTTAACTTTTTAATAATAACCATTCTGACTGATGCGAGATGGTAACTCATTGTGGTTTTGATCTGCATTTCTCTAGTGATCAGTGATGTTGAGCTTTTTTTCTTATGACTGCTGGCTGCATATATGTCTTCTCTTGAGAAGTAACTGTTGATGTCTTTTACATACTTTTTTAACGGGGTTGTTTGCTTTTTCTTGTAAATTTGTTTAAGTTCCTTATAGATGATGAATTTTAGATCTTTGGTAGATCCATAGTTTGCAAAAATTTTCTCCCATTCCGTAAGTTGCCTGTTAACTCTGTTGATAGCTTCTTTTGTTGTGCAGAAACTCTTCAGTTTAATTAGATCCCATTTGTCAATTTTTTCTTTTATCGTAATTGCTTTTGACATCTTTGTCATGAACTCTTTGCCTGTGCCTATGTCTTGAATAGGTCGTCTTCCAGGGTTTTTATAGTTTTGGCTTTTACATTTAATTCTTTAATCTGTCTTAAGATAATTTTTGTATATGGTATAAGGAAGGGGTCCAGTTTCAATTTTCTGTATATGGCTTGCCAGTTATCCCAGTACCATTTATTGAATAAGAAATCCTTTTGCCATTGCTTGTTTGTCAGGTTTGTCAAAGATCAGATAGTTGTAGGTGTTCGGTCTTATTCTGGGTTCTTTCTTCTGCTCCATTGGGCTATGTGTCTGTTCTTGTACCAGTACCAGGTTGATTTGGTTACCATATTAGTTCATTTTCACACTGATAAAGACATACCCAAGATCTTGGGTAATTTATACAGGAAAAGGGGTTTAATGGACTTACAGTTCCATGTGGCTGGGGAAGTCTCATGATCACAGCAGAAGACAAAAAGAAGCAATTCACATCTTACATGGATGGCAGCAGGCAAAGAGAGAGAGCTTGCATAGGGAAACTCCTCCTTATAAAACTATCAGATCTCATGAAGACCTATTCACTATCATTAGACTAGCACAGGAAAGAAGAGCCCCCATGATTCAATTACCTGACACTGACAACACGTGGGAATTGTGGGAGATACAATTCAAGATGAGATTTGGGTGGGACACAGCCAAACCATATCAGTTAATGTAGCCCTGTAGTATAGTTTGAAGTTGGGTAGCTTTGTTCTTTTTGCTTAAGATTGCCTTCATTATTCAGGCTCTTTTTTGGTTCCATGTGAATTATAAAATAGTATTTTCTAGTTCTGTGAGGAATGTCAATGGTAGTTTAATGGCAATAGCATTGAATTTATAAATAGTCTCAGGCAGCATGGCCATTTTAATGATATCGATTCGTCCTATCCATGAACAGGGAATATTTTTCCATTTTTTTGTGTCATCTCTCATTTCTTTGAGCAGTGGTTTTTAGTTCTCCTTATAGAGGATCTTTCACCTTCTTAATTAGCTGTATTCCTAGGTATTTTACTCTTTTTGTAGCAACACACATCTATTTTTGACTTCTGCTGAGATGGCTGAGGGACCCATGACTCATATGCCTCATCTCTTCAAAGAACTTCTTCTATAAATGAATAATATGACCTTTCACTACTTCCCAGGGAACTGGCAAAAAGTCTTGGTTGTCTCTACCAAGCACACATCCCTGACAGTGAATCTCCTAATCATTTCATGTTTTGTGACCTGGATAGGCTGAGAATTTTCTACATCATCAAGTTTTGATTCTTTTTCGTTTAGTAGCTCTTCCTTCAATTTATCTCTTTCCTCTTGCATTTTACTATAATTGGCAAAAGACACCACAACACACAATGACCACTGTGTTTGGAAATCTTCTTAGCTATAGATCTAGAAAGTTTTGCTTTTCACATGAGTACAGGACAGGCCACTATATAATAAGGAGACCTTTTCCATGTATTCCTTACGCCCTCCTGAGCCCTCACCAGTTATGCAGTTAACCTCCATATTTTTACTAACAGTCTGCTCATGATGATCCAGGTTCTCTGTAAGGCAATATAGGCTTTCTCTCCCATGTTCTTCACTTCCTTCTCAGTCCTCACTAGCACAGTCATTAGCATCCATGTTTCTACTAAGAACTACTCAAGGCAATATAGGCTTTCCCTATCATACTCTTTAAAATTCTTCCAACCTCTATCCACCGCCAATCCCAAAGGCACGCCAACACTTTCAGGAATATGTTATAGCCACACCCCCAGTTCTAAGTACCAAAATCTGTCTTACTCTTAATTGCAGCCATAACAAATTACCACAAATTTAGTAATTTAAAGCAATGCAAATGTATTTTTTTCCAGCTATGTCAGTGAGAAACGTGACATGGGTCTCACTGGCTAAAGTAAATCCTTTCTGCAGGCTGGAAAAGACAAACTATTTCCTTGTCTTTTCAGCTTCTAGAGGTCACCCATATTCCTTGGTCCCTTCTTCCATCTTCAAAGCCTGCAACATTACATGTTTTTGATGATTCTTCCATAGTCATATCTTCCTTTCTCCATAACCAGGAAAAGTTCTCCATTCTTTAAGACCTACAAGATTAGATTGGGTCCACCTACATAATGCAGAATAATCTCCCCATTTCAAGGTTCCTAGCTTAATTGTATCTGTAAAGTCCCTTTTGCCATGTAAGATAGCAGGTTACAGGTCCAGGGATTAGGAGGTAGACATTTTAGGGAGGCCATCCTTCTATCTACCACAGTATTGCAAATAATAACAAAAATAGTAACAATGACAAAAATAAAACTCTGGCATTAAAAACATGTTTGCAACACCAAAAGCAAGTAGATTCGTATTTATTCTTACTTCTTTTCCTCTTGGGTTTGGTACTCTCCAAAGCAGAGTTGCTTCCAGTATCCACAGTATCTGGAAAATAACAACTAGTCGTGAGGCAACAAATTAATAAATAAAAGTTATAGATTTTAGGACAATTTATACTATAGAAGGCTTGAGTTTATGAAGACGTTTGGATAGTCATTCCTCTCGTCCTTCTAGAAGAACCAAAAACTCACTGAGCTGAGGACTAGGAGTCTAGGATGGGCCTTGGGTCTTCTATCAAAAATATGTGCTGGGCTAAGAAGAGTAGACCTGCACTCTTCCCTCCTGACAATTAAGTACCAGGATTAGTTGCCTTTTGGATCAGGCTTTTCTAAGGTGTAGCAAAGTGACACTATTATCTATCAGCAGAAGTTCACCGGGCTATCTTGGGTTTCATAGAAAATTGGGTATAACTTAATATACTAATACAATAAACAAAATAACTGCTATTTCAAAGCATATACTTCTACGACATCATCTATATGTAATTAACAGAGCCCATCCTCTTAAATACAACTTTATAATGATCTCTTGCCTCCCTTCAGTTCCCCAAAGGCTCAGGTGAAGGAAATGTGCTGAGAACAGAATTCTGGACAGACGGGAGCACCTGCCTCCACTCTACTGGGGGTCTGTGGGGCCCACTGAGCCACCCCATCCCATGGCCCTCAGGCAGCCTTGCTCACTTTCCATCCTTGCTTCTGGGCCTCCTGGCACTTCTTCTGAGAAACACATGACACAGGAACACTTCTCATTTTCACATGCTAGTTGCTCTGCTCCTGGGCCAAAATTGTGATTTATGAAGACTTTCCGTTTGACCCCATGATTCTCTTTTCTGCACCCTTGTTGCTCCCTCCTTCTTTACTTTTTCCTCTGAAATCTTCTCCTTTCACCACTCCTCCCAATATTTGACTCTTCCTTTAAGTCTCTTTTATTTCCTCTCATTTTTCTCCCTGTCATATCTCTGTTCCTGTTTTCACTATTTTTAAGTCATAATTACCTGGTACATCCTCATGTAGCAGGCTAGAAGCAAGCTCTTCTGATTCTTCTTCTTCATTCATTTGGTGATCTTTTAGTTCACTAGATACTAATGAGAAACAAGAAAATTATTGTCCAAGGATCCTGAGACAATGGCTAGAGAAGAGTTTCCAGTGCTATCATACTGCACAATGATATTCTGAGCTAAGGTGAAGTGCTCTCTGGAAAAAAATATACCTGCTCCAATAATCACACTTAACACATAACAGAGCCATGCTCTCCGCATGTTATGCACCTCATCTTCCCTTTCTCTACTTCTATTTTTGTACTTGTAGTCCTAGAGTAAAGCAAGAAAATTCTTATCATTCCAGAAAACACAAATGTTCTTTGAAAACAGTAAAAAGTAACTATTTAAACTCATCTCAATTGGCCATTGACTACTTATATCACTAACCACATTTCTGAAAGCTAGCCCATGGGTGGCAGTTCTACATATCTGAAGCCTAGCCAGTCAGCAACAGCCCCTTCCACAAAGCCTGCATCAATGGCCAAATGCTAAATTATTCCTAAACACTCCTGTTTCTGAAGGTCTGGAGTCCCTGAACAATATGCTTCCAAAAACTCTAAAAAAAAACCCCACAGTTTCCTTTTCTACAGAGACTGTGTCTTACAAGCACAGGGCCTCCTCCCCTCTGGTGCCTTGCTTAGCAAGGAATAAGTCAGCTTTCAGTTTCAGATAATGAATGGTAGCCTTGCCCTTCAAAAACTGGAGTTCCTGCCGAGATTATTTTGAAGACTCTTGCTGGGGAGTGTCCTGTGGGCCCCTTGGATCCACAAGAATGAATCTCAGGCCACTTGTGTCCAGTTCAGGTCACTTTTCTGACCTATTGCCAAGTGAATCTTTCTCAACAACAACTTGAACTCTGACTTGTTTCATTGAGCTCTTAGTTCTGAATTTATCTTATTTAAAGATGGGTATACAATTAGATAAAATTAGATATTTGGGGTTGGAAGTATAGCACTTAGCAAACGTTTCCTCAATTAATGTGCATATTTATCAATTACTTCATCTGCTTTACTTTTCTTTCATCTATTTTTAAAATGTCTTATCTCTGCCGGGCATGGTGGCTCATACCTGTAATCCCAGCAGGGAGGCTGGGAGGCTAAGGCAGGCAGATTGCTTGAGTTCAGGAGTTCTAGACCATCCTGGGAAATATAGCAAAACCCATCTCTACCAAAAAAAAGTCTTATATCATGCGTGTTTGTTTCTGATTTTCCTGTGCTTTCTGAATGTTAGAAGATAGTGATCCAAAGCAAACAGCTGGTGGCCAAGATCTGATAAGTCCTCAATCCAAGCCAGCCCCCAAAACTAATGGATGTGGGTTCATTAGACAGTAGTCAAACTGTTCAAAGATATTTGGTCACACTTGATCTTGGGTCCCTCATCAAAACCTTCATGAGGACACCTAGTGTCTTATCAATTTGTGAAAAAAAAATCGTTTTGTTTAGTATATAATCTGGAGTCAACTACAATCATGTGATTAATTGTATGTCCCCTTTTCAGTCCCTGCTTCATTCATGTGCAACACATCATTCACACTTCAACCAAATATAGCGGCCTCTTTGCTGTTTGTCATGGGAGTGTCTTTGCCAAAGTCATAATCTCCCCCTGACAAAATTTTCACTTCCTCTGTATACTTTCACCGTGATTCTAACTTTTACACTTTTCTTCACACCTGTCAAAAATTTCACTAATGACGACTTTGGCTAACAATGGGGAATTTTTGACATGTCCAAAGTAAGTAACACATTTGACAAGTAGATCTATCAAAGAAGAGAAAAAAAATCACCAAATGTTCTCATTTCTCAACCAGTAACCTGTTACTTTCAGACCATTATCTAAGGAACACTCTTTTCAACAAAACCTCTATAAATGTAATAGATAGGGATTTATTCTGCAAATGGAACTACCAGATTAAGTGTTCAGAAGAAAGATTAATTTTAGAAGTTCCCTGACACATGATCTACGTATAGTTGACCTGAACATTAGTATACTTATACTATGCATGATTTGAGATCTGCAAGTAATAAACAAAATAGGTATATCTCACTTTCCCGTACCTCCTAACCAGACACAGGCAGGTTTCCTGTCTCCCTGTCTCCTTTATCATAATCCTTTTCTTTTGTATGTACATAAAAAAACAGGCCATAGTTTATGACCAGCCTGGTCAACATGACTTTCTGAAGGAAGCGGACTGCTCCTGCAGGACCCAGGAGACCCCCCTCAAAGTGTGAGTGTCCCAACTGCAGAATTGGGAAAGGGGGACTCTCCTCTCCCGAACACACACCCCCACTGGAGAAGCTGAAGGTCTGTTTGCGGGAGAAGTTTCTGACTTTACCTGGAACTGAGTCAATCTGGAGAGCTGGGTGAGATACAGAGGTAGAGGAAGCAGCGGAAAAGTGCTGGGAGCTCGCTGGGTCCCCTAGCAGGCCATTCCTGCTGGTACCACAGGGCTCCAATGGGAGAGGAGCAGGAGGTAAAACTACACAGGGAGAAAAGTCTCTAGCTGAACTTTGTAACAATTTGAACCGGGTGAGAAGCCTCCTGGCCAGAACTCCAGGGAGGGCGCCAATCCAGTGTACAGACTCCACAGGTGGGGAAGAACCAAGCCCTTTTCTTCTGCAGCTGGGAGGCAGATAGTCTGGGGCAGATTTTCAAGCCTGGAAATGGTCTGGGGGCTGTTGTGGAGGGCATGGTGGGAGTGAGTCAGGCACTTTGGTTTACATGGGAGCTGGGTGAGGCCTGTGACTGCCAGCTTTCCCCCACTTTCCCAACAACCTTGGATGACTCAGCAGAAGCAGCCATAATCCTCCCAGGTACAAAACTCCAGTGACATGGGAATCTCATCCCTACCCCTCATAGCAGCTGCAGCAAGATCCACCCAAGGAGAGTCTTAGTGTAGACACACCCAGCCCCTCCCCAACCTGATAGTCCTTCCCTATCCATCCTGGTAGCTGAAGACAAAGGGCATATATCTTAGAAGTTCTAGGGCCCCACCCACCACCAGTTACTCCCCATAATACCACAGCTGATGCTCCCTAGAAAGCGCCACCTCCTGGCAGGAGGCCAACCAGCACAAAAATAGAGCATTAAACCAACAAAGCTAAGGACCCCAACAGAGTCCACTGCAACCCCATCACCTCCAACAAAACAGGCACTTGTATTCATGGCTGAGAGACCCATAGATGATTCACATCACAGGACTCTGTGCAGACAGCCCCCAGTACTAGTCTAGAGCCAGGTAGACTCGCTGGGTCACTAGACCCAGAAGAGAGACAACAATCACTCCAGTTTGTCTCACAGGAAGCCACATCCATAAGAAAAGAGGGAGGGTACTACATCAAGGGAATATCCCATGGGACAAAAGAATCTGAACAATAACCTTCAGCCCTAGACCTTCCCTCTGACAGAGGCTACCCAAATGAGAAGGAACCAGAAAACCAACCCTGGTAATATGACAAAACAAGGCTCTTCAGCACTCCTGCAAAATCACACTAGTTTACCAGCAATGCATCTGAACCAAGAAGAAATCCCTGATTTACCTGAAAAAGAATTCAAGGGGTTAGTTATTAAGCTAATCAGGGAGGGACCAGAGAAAGGCAAAGCCCAATGCAAGGAAATTCAAAATATGATACAAGAAGTCAAGAGAGAAATATTCAAGGAAATAGATAGCTTAAAAAACAATTAAAAATTCAGAAAACTTTGGACACACTTTTGGAAATGTGAAATGCTCTGGAAAATCTCAGCAATAGAATTGAACAAGTAGAAGAAGGAAATTTAGAGCTCAAAGACAAGGTCTTCAAATTAACCCAATCCAACAAAGACAAAGTAAAAAGAACAAGAAAATACAAACAAAGCCTCCAAGAAGTCTGGGATTACGTTAAATGACCAAACCTAAGAATAATCGGTATTCCTGAGGAAGAAGAGAATTCTAAAAGCTTAGAAAATATATTTGGGGGAATAATCAAGGAAAACTTCCCTGTCCTTGTTAGAGACTTAGACATCTAAATATAAGAAGCACAAAGAACACCAGGGAAATCATCACAAAAAGATATTTGCCTACGCACATTGTCATCAGGTTAACTAAAGTTAAGACGAAGGAAAGAATCTTAAGAGCTGTGAGACTAAAGTACCAGGTAACCTATAAAGGAGAACCTTATCAGGTTAACAACAGATTCTCAGCAGAAACCCTACAAGCTAGGAGGGTTTAGGGCCTTATCTTCAGCCTCTTCAAACAAAACAATTATCAGACAAGACTTTTGTGTCCAGCAAAACTAAGCATCATATATGAAGGAAAGATACAGTCTTTCAGACAAACAAATGCTGAGAGAATTCACCATTAGCAACCCACCACTACAAGAGCTGCTAAAAGGAGCTCTAAATCTTGAAACAAATCCTAGAAACACATCAAAACAGAACCTCTTTAAAGCATAAATCACACAGGACCTATAAAACAAAAATACAAGTTAAAAAGTAAAAACAAGAGCCAAAAAATCAAAGTACATAGGCAACAAAAAGCACAATGAATGCAATGGTACCTCACAGTTCAATACTAAAAGTGATTGTAAATGGCCTAAATGCTCCACATAAAAGATACAGAACCACAGAACTGATCACCAACCAAATATCTGCTGCCTTCAGGAGACTCACCTAGCACATAAGGACTCACATCAACTTAAAAGTAAAAGGGGGGAAAAGGGCATTTCATGCAAAAAAAAACACCAAAAGCAAGCAGGAGTAGCTATTCTCACATCAGACAAAACAAATTTGAAGGCAAAAGCAGTTAAAGAAACAAGGAGGGACATTATATAGTGGTAAAAAGCCTTGTCCAACAGGAAAATATCACAATTCTAAACATATATGTACCTAACACTGGAACTCTCAAATTTATAAAACAATTATTAATAGGCCTAAGAAATGAAATAGCAACACAATAATAGAGGGTAACTTCAATACTCCACTGACAACACTAGACAGGTCATCAAGACAGAAAGTCAACAAAGAAACAATGGATTGAAACTATACCTTGGAACAAATGGATTTAACAG